TGGAGCTTAGCTTCTCAGCAAAGCAACTGTTATGGGTTCAATTAAAGCTGCCTCAAATACGTTCAAATCCTAACCCTAGGTACCTGTGAGGTTGTTTAGAAATAGGGTCTTTGACTGTATCATCAGCTAATTTAGAATGAGATCATTCTAGAGCAGGATGGGTCAAGACCAATCTGATTGGTCCCCTTGCAAAAGAGCAAAAGAGACTCAGAGAGATGGAGAGAAGGAAGCATCTACAAACCGAGGCTTGCCTGGGGTTACCAAAGTGGAACCAGATAACAAAAGAGCTTCTCCTACAGTCTTCGGTGAAAGAGTAATTCTGCTGGCACCTTGAATTCAGACTTACAGTGAGACCATACATTTGTGTCCCTCATAAGCCATCCATTGTATAAGATGTTGTTACAGCAGTTCCAGGAACTAAACACATTCGGGTAGCAAAAATAAAAACGAGAAGATTTGACCTTAAGGGTCATTTCAGAAGTTTACAATCAGGAAAATTTAGAAAGAAGCTACCTAAATTCCAGCACACATTTGAGTTTGTGTCGCGTCACAGAAAAACAACCACCACCACAACAAACACCTCTAATCATTGGGGATGGTTAGGGAATGAGCTGTATCTTCTCTATGTTTGGGGATTCCAGAGGAAGACAGGGGCTCTGGTCTCTCCACATCCTCAGAAGCTGTGATCTGACAGAGATAGGGGCTATGAGGAAGCTGCACCCCCTCATCATTTACCCAACAGTGATGACGCCCTGACCCGCCATCACGATCACTTCACTTCTGTTGTAGGAAAATGCTAGACCTTCTCGATGCGTTGTTTCTCCAGCTGAAAAGTGCACGTGGACCCCAGTGCTATGTCTCCAGTTAAACAGACAAAAACAAACAAACAAGCAGACCTGTCGGGCCATTCCATTCATTGTCTCCAGTACTAGCCACTCAAACCACGCTTCAGATCAATTGTTAGATCTGAAAGATAACTTAGTCCTCTAGCTCCCTTGTCCTGCCTTCTCGGAACAGGTCCAGATTTAGAAGAGGGTGTGGCAAAAGGTCTACTCACCCTCGGTCTTGTAATACACCTCGCCAGCAAAATGGGCAATGCCAAATTGGACATCATGGATGGTCTTGGGTTGCAGGAAGGCCTTGTTGTTGGCATGGACATCCTTAAATTTTTGCAGCATGGTGATGTCTGTTCCCTGGAAAAACCCAGAAGACCTAGGATCTGAAGTTCCCAGAGTATGGTATGGGGAGGTTAGGGGATGTAGTCACAGGGTTCAGGAGCTCCCTTTTGGGGCCCAAGCCACCTGGACTTTTAATGACCTGGGCTATCTCTATAGACAGAAAACTACACCCAAGGGTAGATGGCTTGTGGTGAGGGAGGCCCGAGCTTTGAGTAGAGACCAAAAGATATGCTGACTTCCACTACTGGCTCTTTCTTCCCCACCTTTCCCTGCAATGGTCCAGCAATCCTGCCCCCCGCCCCCACCCCCCATCTTTCTTCAAGGTAGTCCTCACTGACTGCATTTGGGAGCAGTGGCATCCCTGGGGTGGGGAGGTGGGAAGTCCATGGAGGTGGTGGCAGTGGGGCAGATGTCACTGGGGGAGCAGAGGTCAAGGCAGTGGGGCAGATGCAGCTGGGGGCGGGGAGGTCAAGCAGTGGCATTGAGTGGTGTTGCTGGTCACCCGGTGCAGTAACGTCATCTCCCCTCCTCTCTATCCCCAGCCAGGGTCTGGGAGGGTGGGCTGAGGCTAGTCTGCTAATTCCTGGCAAAGGTTTCAGCAACCATGACACAAGTGCACCACCCTAGTAGAATTTTCCAGCAAAGAAGAGAAGGGGTCTCCACCAGAGGATTGGCAGCCCGGGGCACACCTTTGGGAAGCGGCTCTCTTCATCCAAGAGGGAGATGATGCTCATGGGCTTGCGCGCGAGCAGGTCCAGGGTGGAGCGGTTGTCCGTGTAGTGGATGTAGTCCCAGGTAATGCTCTCCGTCTGGTACTCCTCCTGCTCCATGGCGAACACGTGCTGCACAAAGAACTGCTGCAGGTGCTCATTGGCCAAGTTGATGCAGAACTGCTCGAAGCTGAGGAGGTAATGCCACCCACCCAGCGGGGGAGCGGTGTTAGCTGCATTCCTGCAGCAGCTGATGGGAGACCTGGGGTCCCCAGCCAGCTGCACACAGCCACATCTGCAGATGTCCATGAAAGCCCACCCTTGTGCACACGTGGACTCCATGCACACACAGATGCAACCTTAGTCCCTTCTCTCCCCCTTTCCTTGGCCTCGTCACCACGCCTGCAAATGTTCTTAAGTGCCGTCGAGTCAGTTCCAACTCATGGCCACACTACCGACAACAGAACGAAACACCTCAGGTGGACCAGGAGGAACAAGAAGGCTCGTCATCTCATCTAGGTACCCTGAGCCGTCCGAGAGATGTCCGTGCTCTTCCACATCCACCTGCGCCCGGGGAAGTCATGATTGAATGAGAGGCCAGGGTCTCTGAAAGCACCCCTACTTCTACCAGGCCCCCCAGCTTCTAGCTCTGTGACAAGCTGTGACCACCTGTGGACAGATCTGTGGGCTCCAGAGCCCACAACTCAACAACCACAAAACGTTTCAGAGCTGTGCTTGTCCATTCCCAAGCTCTCCCCAAGCTAGGATGAAGGCTCCAAATTATGCTGGAGTTGCTTTGCCTTGGGGCCCACCACATCAGGCATAGCCCTGCTAGCCCTCTTGTCCCCTTGTCCTTGACTGACAGAGAGTAAGCCTGCCTGGCCAACTTATCCTCGGTGACTGCATGTGGGACAGCTGTGGTTTGGCCATCCTGTCCCTTGAAGGAAACCTCATTAGAAATCACTCCCAGGGCAGGCTTCCCTAGGAGACAGAGCCTTGGATCGAGCATGCTATGATGGTGCCCGGAGACCTCCATTTCTCAGAACCAGCATCCTAGCTCTGACAGGGAAGCCCTTTCCATGGGCAAGCTGACCAAGATAAACCAAGTCGAATCTGGGATGATGTCTTCTTTTTTCCCCTCATTCTCTAACTACCTCCTATTATGTGATAAAGGCCCACAGTATCACTTGACCTTGCTAGACTCTACTATCTGGTCTACCCTCTGTGTCTCTCTCCTATCTTCCTCACTGTCACAATCAGGCACCAATTTCATGACCTGCCTCCCAGTTACAGTTTTCGTTTCCCGTCTGAGGGGCTATTGAGGCACTGGGTCAGAAGGGGCGGGCTTCCCTTTCACTGAAGGAGAGAAAGAAGACAGCCCATTGCTCTTCAGTCAATGTGCCACCTTCAAACTCACACGTCATGGCCCACACATGCCTCTACTTTTCTTGTATTACCCATTATCCTATCTTACCCATGGATGTAGGTGAACAATATGATGATTATTTCCGTTTGTACCCTAACCCCCAGGTGATTATTTTCTCACGAGAAGGGGAGAGGGCTCAAGAAGGGAGACAAATGTTTGGGTCTCTGCCTGACCCTTAGGGAGGACTTTTAGCCACATGGTTATCTAGAAGTGATGAACACAGGTTACCCAGAAACCCAGAAAGGCTCTGGCCACTGAACAGAGCCTGTCCCTAGCATCTGTGAGTAGGAGGGTGAGAACAGCTACCCTCTAGTTTTCTCAGGGAGACAGGGGCTTGGATTGGCCTTTCATTTCCCCAAAGCTGAGGAATAGAAATATTCATACCTGTTGTTTTGAAAATTTTCAAAGCCAAATATGTCTAGGAGACCAATGGCTCTTCGCACCAGTTTGGGGTCCTGGGAAGGTGGAGTGAAGATGGTCGCATTGATCTTCTTCACGATCCACAAGAAGAGGTGCCCGTAGATGCCCTTGGAGACAGTGGGTAGAACCACGTGGGCTTTGAGACAGGAACTCTCCATCTATTTAAGCTCACCTGAGAAGGCTGCATGTAGACCCAACCCCATAGGGCTGACTGAGGGACGTTATCCCAAAGGCAAGAACTTGAGGGTCCAGCTAGGAGGGCCACAGTCCCCAGGGTGGTCAGGTACAGAGTCGAGACTTTCCCAGGATAGCCACTTCCAAAGCCTGTGTTCTTCCCAGGATTCTACCGAGGAGGATGGGGTGGGGTTGGGGACAAGGGCAGGCCATAGACAGCTACCTAGACAGATAGTCCCAGTTGCTGAAGAGGAATTAAAGGATGCTGTACCTTGACAAAGGCGTCCCTCCGATCTGTGGCCTGGGAGACGTTCAGGGGTCTAATGACAAACTCTCCACGGATAACAATAGAGTGCTTGGTCAGGCAGTCTTGGAGCGCCTGGTGCTGCACCTGGTGACATAGGCAACAGGCTGACATCACATTTGGCAGGACCAGGCCCTGACCCAGAATCCCCATCTTCTTCTGTCTTGTCATGGTCCCTCTCTGGCCCCCAGACCATGGGGGTGAGAGGGAGAATTGACATGTGGCCAGGCCCAGGACTCAGATGAGCTTAGCACCCAGGTCCTGGTAGGAGAGGGGTGGGGGCCCTGAGCATACTGGACTCGTCTCCTGGGAGCTGATAGCACCAATGGATAGGTCTGAGGAAATGTGTCCTTGGGATGGCTGGCTCTGAAGAGAGAACCCTGACCATGAATGGTCAGGAAAGACTCTGGAGCCACAGCCTTGGCATCTGCGTATGCCCCAAGCCATTCCCCCTGGTGGCTGAGGGCCTTCAGGGGCAAGGAGCATTTGGGTGGACCATCTTTTCCCCACCACACAGGGAAGACCAAGTCAGTCAAATCTAAAGATTCTAAGAATCTTTGAATCAAATGAGGAAAGTTAACAGAAAAACATACCTACTGTGATACTATTTTTATTCTCACATTAATTCCTTGCCAGGACAGTGATTTGTGGTGGGATGTACAGAGATTGCAATGTTCCTTTCAGACCTGCCACTGGTCTCTGTAATAATGTGGAGGCCACAGTCCTGGCCACAGGTGCCTTAGCACACAGCTCTGGCAGAGGAGGGAACGTAACTTGGGGAGAATCCCTGGGTTGGGATGGAGGACAGGGACACTTTGATGCGCAGTGCAAGGTCCAGAGCTCTGGTCCTTGTGTAAGGTGCCAGGATGGGGAAATCTTAGAGACTGGTTGGATAGAGAGTTAGGAGACAGGGTGTGGGGCCACTGGGAAGCAGGAGGTAACACCGGACAGGGAGGGAGAGCTAGCAAAAGCCAAACCGACCATTTCATGACTATGTTATGATTAACTCACACCACCCCTACCCTGATCCCAATCCACATACCTGCAATGAACAGAAGGCAAAGGTGGGCCTTGTAACATAGGAGAGGGACTCAAGACAGGAGTTGGGGCCCAGTAAGGAGAAGGATAGTGTGTTGGTCCCAGTCCCTAGGGCCTTCAAAAAGAAGGAAGGTGGCAGGAGTAGCAGGTTCAGTTACCTCCAGCAGCTTCGTCAGGATGGGAAAACTGGGCGTCTCCATCACATCTGAGGAATCCAGGTTCTCGAAGACGGCAGCTACCGAGAGAAACAGTCATCCTGAGTGTCACAGCAGGCTGCCATGAGCGGGAGGGCTCCTCACAGCCCTGTGAGGATAAGTGTCCCTGGATTGAGGCACTCACTGCCGCCCTAGCTCCTCCCGTTGGTGGAACAAAAGTCCTTAGTGACTATCAGTCATTAACACTTTAACTGTGAATCATGCCACTGACCGCTACACTCTCTGCAAAAGGGATGTGGGAAACAAATGGAAGCTTGTTTGGAAGAGAGAAACCTGAATGAGGATTCCTGTCAGACATGGATGCTGGGATGGTTACGGGGGAGGGGCACACTGGGAAGATGAGTCATTTGCTCTCTGGAACCCACTCAGCTGTTCTTATCAGAAACCTGGTCATTCGTGCATACAATCAAATTCAATAAGCATTAACGGAGACCCACTGTAGGGCGAGCCCATTTCTAGACACTGGGAGTGAAGTGGTGCATAAAAGTCTCTCCCCAGATTTCTCCCTCTTCTACAGACCCACAAAAGAGATCTGTTTTCAGCGCTAAGCTCCCTCTCCAGTCAGCCCCTATCACTGGCACCTTACTGTAGGCGACCTTTGCCTCCTACCTGGAATCTTGCAATAGTCTCTTGTCTGATCTCTCCACTTCAAATCCCCCCCCCACGGTTTTATTGGCATGCAATGCACATATCATATAATTCAATAGTCCAGTCACTTCAAGAAGGGCTGTACAATCATCACCACAATCAGTTTTAGAACATGAGGGGGGTTTTCCCCCAACCTCCCCTGCCATAACCACAAGGAATCATTAGACCAGTTACTGTCTCTACAGATTTACCTATCCTGGATTTCATAGACAGAAAACCATTAAAAACTAAGAATAATAGCAAAGCAAAACAGATGGAAACCTAAATTGAAAAGAAAGCAGAAAACATGTAAGATATGATACAATAATAATTTATAAATTATCAAGGGTTCATGAGGGAGGGGATAGCGGGGAGGAGGAAAAAAAAAAGAAATATTAGGAGCTGATTCTAGGAGCCCAAGCGGAAAGTGAGTGTTTTGAGAATGATGAAGGCAACATATGTATGTGTGCTTTATACAATTGATCTATGTATGGATTGTGATAAGAGTTGTATGAGCCCCAATAAATTGATTAAAAATTAAAAATAAAAAAAAAACATTAAAAACTACAACAAGTTTAAATGGAACACAAGGGAGGTCAATGATAGGGTGCTAAATTTCACCCTAAATGCATATGCAACATTCCACTTTCCAGTGCATTCTGCATGACATCAATGCTATTCATGATTAGAGGGGATTCACCAGGGGCTTGAGTCACGTGCATTTCCCTTTCCTTAAAAAAAATTACTATCAACTGAAACAGCTTTAAAATAGGTCAAAATGGAGATCAATGACTATTGCATTTTAACGTAACTCTGTCTGCCACACTGACTACACTATCCTCTGTCTGATAACAGGGCTTTTCAGATCCCTCAACTATGACCAGAGGGGATTCATTAGAGGCTTCATCCATGTGTAGGTCTTGCAAATGGATTTTAGACTTCTACAAACTAGGTGTTCACAATGTAAGCTCGGATATCATTCCCTCCTTTACATGTGGATTACCTATATTGTTTCCCAGTCTTGGCTCACATAGGCCAAAGTGCTTCTTCCGTGTGGCTTAGTTGACATCTCACTTAAATGGCTGCTTGATTGAAAACAAACCTTTAAGGCTCCAGATGCTATTCTTTCTCATAGCCCGGCTCCATCTAGTTTCTTTACCACACTTTGCTATAGCACCCATCTCTTCAGTGATCTCTTCATGAGGGTGAGGCTCAAGCAGGGTCATATCATGAGAATATGTGTTCTTAGATTGGGGTTAGAATTAAGTGCAAGCCCTCAAACCATTCAGGCACCGATGGTTTATATGTGTCTCCACTGTCATTTCCTGTTAGAAAACTTTATCAACCATCACACGGGGTCACCACTTCCACTGCCAATGCTGACTCATAGTGACCTTACAATGCAGG